TCACAGCTGGGTGCCCATACTAAAGATTCCGGTGCCAGGGAGAGAAGACAGACGGTGAAACCAGCGATGGTGAGGACACCGCTGGACCGAGGGATAGGTAAGTGTCTGTATTTTAAAAGTCAGCAGCTACAGTTTTTGTAGCTGCTGACTTTTATTTTTGTTTTTTTAGCTGGAACTCGGCTTTAGGTAGCAGAGGGGGTTGTTAATCAGTTTCAGCTGCTTTGGTGTTAATGGATTAAACAACAGGTGCACTAGATGGTCAACAATGAGATGACCCCCAAAACAGGAATGGTTTTACAGGTGGAGGTCACTGACATTTTGTTCCCAACTCATCCTTTCTGACTGTTTTTCACTAGTTTTGCATTTGGCTAGGGTCGGTGTCACTACTGGTAGCATGAGGCAATACATGGACCCTACAGAGGTTGCACAGGCAGTCCAACTCCTCCAGGATGGATCAATACGTGCCATTGCCAGAAGGTTTGCTGTGTCTCCCAGCACAGTCTCAAGAGCATGGAGAAGATTCCAGGAGACAGCCAGGTACTCTAGGAGAGCTGGACAGGGCTGTAGAAGGTTCTTAACCCATCAGCAGGACCGGTATCTGCTCCTTTGTGTAAGGAGGAACAGGATGAGCACTGCTAGAGCCCTACAAAATGACCTCCAGCAGGCCACTGGTGTGAATGTCTCTGACCAAACAATCAGAAACAGACTTCATGAGGGTGGCCTGAGGGCCCGACGTCCTCTAGTGGGCCCTGTGCTCACTGCCTGGCACCATAGAGCTCGATTGGCATTTGCCATTGAACACCAGAACTGGCAGGTCCACCACTGGCGCCCTGTACTTTTCACAGATGAGAGCAGGTTCACCCTGAGCCCATGTGACAGACATGAAAGGGTCTGGGGAAGCCATGGAGAATGTTATGCTGCCTGTAACATGGTTCAGCATGACCTTTTTGGTGGTGGGTCAGTGCTGGTCTGGGGAGGCATATCTATGGAGGGATGCACAGATCTCTACAGGCTAGACAATGGCACGCTGACTGCCATTAGGTATCAGGATGAAATCCTTGGACCCATTGTCAGACCCTACGCTGGTGCAGTGGGTTCCTCCTGGTGCGCGACAATGCCCGCCTCATGTGGTGACAGTATGCAGGCAGTTCCTGGAGGATGAAGCAATTGATACCATTAAATGGCCCCCACGCTTGCCTGACCTAAATCCAATAGAACACCTCTGGGATTTCATATTTTGGTCCATCCGACACCGCCATGTTGCACCTCAGACTGTCCAGGAGCTCAGCGATGCCCTGGTCCAGATCTGGGAGGGAATACCCCAGGACACCATCCATCATCTCATTAGGAGCTTGCCCCGACGTTGTCAGGCATGCATACAAGTATGTGGGGGCCATACAAACTACTGAGGACCATTCTGAGTTGCTGCAATGAAATTTCAGCAAAATAGACTAGCCTGCTGCATCATATTTTCACTTTGATTTTGGGGGTGTCTATGAATTCAGTCCTCTGTAGGTTGATAATTGTCATTTCCATCAAACGATGGGGCATCCTTACGTTCCTAACACATTACCCCGTCCATATCAGTATTGAGATCCAGCAGGAGATTTTTCCCCATTAAATCTGATGTGTTTTTAAAGTGTTCCTTTGATTTTTTTCAGCAGTGTTTTTAAATAATGTATTGAATATTACTATATATCCAGTTTGTGTGTGCCAGATGTCTTTGCAAACCCAGATATTGCCATATAAATGAGCAATGACATCATCATTGTGCTGGACATAGCCTGTGCAGAGAGCAGAGCTGTGGGAGGGATGCAGCAGGCTCCACCCACTACAGGCTGCTTTCAGAAAACTACAGGAGGGGGCGGAGACAAGACCAGTCACCCTGCACAAGGAGAGAGAGCAGCAGTGAGTGGTCTTTATTACAGGAAGCTCCTGGACAGAGGCAGAGTTTCACACTTTGCTTATCAAGGAATTCAGGTTAATGCAGAACTTCACCCAAAAGGGGAAGTTTTGCTTCCTTACATCCCCCTCCACTGCTACAATTGGCACTGTTTTGGGGGAGGGGAGAGCAGGTACCTGGTTTTGACTTCCAATCAAATGCGCCGCAGTGATCTGAGCCAGAAGTTTGCCCGCCCTTCTTCCCCCGCAGCCTTCTGGGACACTTCACAGGTCCCAGAAGACTGCTGGACCATTCACAAAGTGAAGCGCGTCTCGCGAATGGACAATATGGGACCGGCTGTGAAGCCACAAGGCTTCACTTCCGGTTTCCCTTACTGAGGAGGCCGGCAGCCGAAGCAGATTGAAAAATTGGCTCAGAGTGAGGACATCGCTGGACCCCTGGACAGGTACTGTAAGTGTCCTTATACTAAAAGTCAGCAACTACAGTATTTGTAGCTTCCGACTTTTTTTGGGGGGGAGCCTGGAACTCCTCTTTAAGAAAGCTAAAAAATATCCAACTTCCGCACCACCAAAACACAGTCAACTATTAACCACTTGCCCGCTGCCCTTTAGTAGAACTACTTTTACAAGGCGGCAGGGCTGGGCAAAATCACATATATATGTGATTTGCATTTCCGGGTAGGGGACGCACGCTCCGCCATTGGCGGCTAGGGATATCCATCACTGGGTCCCAGCCGGAGATTCCCGGCAGAACCTGGTGATCGCCATGTAGAACTGACAGGGGAGAGACCTGTGTGTAAACAACAAGGACATGCTGCTGTGTATTTCTCCCTAGTAAAACACACACAGCACACTGATCACTGTATTAGTGTCGTTGGGATGTAAGTGACAGAAAGTTGCCACCCAGTGTCAGAATGCCAGCCGCAGTCCTGCAGTCCCGCTATAAGTCGCTGATCGCCACCATTACTAGTATAAAAAAATTAAAATTCCAGTATATATAACGCCATTTGTAGACGCTATAACTTTCACGTAAACCAATTAATTTTTTTTTAGTAAAGACATGTTGCAGAATACATTTTGGCCTAAACTTATGAAGAAATTTGATTTTTAAAATTTTTTTACTGAATATGTTTCATAGCAAAAAGTCAAAAAAATATAGTTTTTTTTTTAATTGTCAGTCTATTTTTTTTATAGCGCAAAAAATAAAAAACACAAAGGTGATCAAATACCACAGAAAGAAAGCTCTACTTGTGTGGAAAAAAGGACATAAATATAATTTATGTACAGCATTACATGACCACGCAATTGGCAGCTAAAGTAACACAGCGCCGTATAAAAAATGGCCTGTTCAGGAAGAGAGGTAAATCCTCTGGCGGGCAAGTGGTTAAAAGTGCATAAACATAACAAAAAATAATGAAAAATTGGCTGCAAGCATGCAAAGTAATATCACTTTACCGTAAATAAAATAAAATATAAAATAACCAAAAAGTGCAGGAACAGCCACTAATAATGAAATTAATCCATATGCAACAAAATATTTAAACAAAAAATAAAAGTACATCAACAAATACGCATTACATGCATTATGTGACAAACAAATTCAGACATGTAAATAAAGTCTAATAAAAATAATTTTAAAAAAATGTGAATTTCAACATTCTAATAGTTCATGAAAATCGCACAAACTTTTGGATGTGATTTTTACAGACTATAAGACCTCATGCACACGGGACGTTTTGATAACGCTGGTAACGTTAGTTGTGTAAAGTCATGTTAAAAATGTGAGTTTTTCAGCGTTTTTGCATTAGCGTTTAGTGATGTTTTTTGGCGTTTGTGTTTCTTAGAGTTTTTTTACCAAAAGAAATTTTTTTGGGTCAAAAAACTTCCAAAATCACCGGTTTCTTGTGTTTTACCACATTTTTCTGCATTTTTCTGCATTGGAGCGTTTTTACAGCTAAAAAACTCCTCTAGAAACCCACTAGTCTTTTTTTTTCCAGCCAAAAAACATTCCAGCCAAAAAATGCTGATTACAGTCTATGTGTGCATGGACACATAGGACAACATGCTGGGGGGTTTACTAGCTGTAGAAAAAAAACATCAAAAGCAAAAGACAGCCGCTGTAAAAACGTCCCGTGTGCATGAGGACTAAGAATGCTGGAATTCACTTTTTTTTTTGTATTGGTACACTTTATTTATATATGATTCAATTTGTCACATAATGACTGTAATGTGTATTCGATTGATTGATCAATTCAATTGTTAGTGAATAGCCCTGTACTTTTTGGTTATTTTAGCTTTACAAAGTAATTTAACTGTCATCGGTGTCCCCACCAGAGAGATTCCCTCACTTACCCATCATCTAATAGACCCCAGATTTTTCCACAAAGAGGACCTGTCACGGCCCATGCTATTACAAGTGACATTGTTTATCCCTTGTGATAGCAGTAAGTTGCAAAAATATATAAAATAGAGCATAAAAAATTAATTTATAAATCAAAAATAAAAAAAAAAAAAAAAAATTAAAGCACCTGTAAAGGAAATTTGTAAATTCTGTAAAAAAAATTGTGTTCTATTTTGTATGCTTTGCCTATGTATTGTACACTGCGCTCATTGTGCACTAATAATGTTTTGATTACATTTGCATTCCTTCAAGTTGTGATTAGAAATTAGCCTGCCTACAGTATGTAATGCCCCGTGTTACCATAAAAGTACAATTGTAATATTCATGTGATACCTATATAATCATATGTATAAAGACTTCAAATGCGCCGAATATACAGAACAGTTATTTGCAAAGATGCTGAATGTATCTTTTTGTGTCTGTTCCCTACTGCAGTAGTTATTAAAACACACAGAAAGTAGGTTTAAGGGTTGTCAGTGTCAAAGTTCACATCAGTGCTTGCAGTTCCAGTGAGTTTCAGTTGCAGCAAAAGAAGTAGAACATGCTGCAATTTTTCTGCACAGAATTGTACTGGAACACGGTAAAACGCATCAAAAACGCACCGGAACACACCGAAAACAAAAACAAACCAGAACTGGAATGCACATGTCCTTTTTTAACCTCCCTAACGGTGTTCCCGAGTGTAGCTCGGGGTAAAATGTCAGTACCAAAAGCGGTAACTCCGAGCTACACTCGGGCTTACCATGCGGCGCTGCATAGGGAGTCCCTGCAGAGCTTACTTTGTCCTTCGCTCCCGCGATGTGTCCCCTGCAGCGTCCCCGGCCATGTCCTCCGGCTGATGCCGGCATCCGGCTTCTGTGTTCCAGTCCCTGTGACGTCGGGACGTACGGGCGCCGCCGGCGGCAGGAAATTTGAAAATTTTAAAAAAATGTCATTTTTTTTCAAAACGATTTTACATAGTAAAACATTGCTGTTTCAACCCATTTCACATACATTTTCTCCCGAGTGCTTTGTCCGGCGCCCTGCCTGCATTTTTACTGTTCTTTCTGCCTGGAAACTGAGAAACGTCCAAGGCGTCCAAAAAGTGTCTTTGCTCAGCGATGTGTGAACTTGGCGCAATATTTCAAATTTCAGTGTTTTTGGTTTGATTATATGTAATATTATTATATTATTATTTATTTTATGATTATTTATTAAATTATAATTTATGATTTCGTGTTTCAAATTTTATCATACCCGGGATGTTTAACAGACTCTTGTTCGGACAGATTTCAGTGAGTTATTCCTAAATATTACAGCCTACAATAAAAAAACTACATATTTTCCATCCAAAATAATGGTACCGCTTTCAGCACCGAAAATCTGAAATAATCATACCGCCAGGGAGGTTAAAAGGAAAAAAAGAGAGGGGGAAAAAAAATCTGGAATGCATAAAAAACACAGTGGAATGCAACAAAAACGCATAAAAAAAGTGCATGCAGAAATGCATCCAGAATGCATCTGGACTACATTTCTATAGTGTGCACCGGTCCTAACTCTAAACTGGTAACCTGTAAAGGCTTTTTATGCGTCGCCTATGGAGATTTTTTAGGTATTGCAGTTTGTCGCTATTCCATGGGCGTGACGTGTTGGGAATGTATTTACTTGGCGTAACATCATATTTTATATTTTACAAAAAAAATGGGTATTACTGCTTGTGTGTACTATAATTCACCAAATTGCACTAAAAAATAAAGCATATTTTCCCCAAAAATGTGCATTTAAAAAATTGCTGTGCAAATTTATTTATTTTATTTATTTCAGATACTTATATAGCGCCATCAATTTACGCAGCTTTTTACATATCGTGCTGCATAAAAAATTGCAACAACCACCATTTTTTTCTCCAGGGCCTTTCCTTTATGCTTCAAAGTTTGGGGGTTTCAAGTAATCATCTAGTTTAAAAAAATGCAGTTTTTCCATGTATGTGAGAAGTGTCTGAATTATTTTGGGCAGCAAAGGGTTAAACAAAAAACAAACAAACAAGTAAATGTCTGGAGTGTAACTTCTTTCCTGGTGACACAGCAGGAAGTGAAAGACGATTTCTCCAAAGTGTGCAGAAATCCCCTCTTAGATGTCACCACAACACTAGTAGGTGATTCTCCTTCACCTACATTATTGTTCTGGTGACCACTGTAAAATTTGGGGCTTCCCATCATTATCTGTCCCACAGGAAACCACCACTAAGACCAACCTTCTCAGCATGGGACATACACTATATTGCCAAAATTATTGGGCCAGCCCTCCAAATCATGTGATTCAGGTGTTCCAATCACCTCCATGGCCACAGGTGTATAAAATCATCACCTAGGCATGCAGACTGCTTCTACAAACATTTGTGAAAGAATGGGTCGCTCTCAGGAGCTCAGTGACTCCAAGCGTGGTCCCGTGATAGGTTGTCACCTGTGCAATAAGTCCATCCGTGACATTTCCTGGGTACTAAATATTCCACGCTCAACTGTTAGTGGCATTACAAAAAAATGGAAGCAACTGGGAACAACAGTAACTCAGCCACGAAGTGGTAGACCACATAAAATGACAGAGCGGGCTCAGTGCATGCTGAAGCGCACAGTGCGCAGAAGTCGCCAACTGTCTGCAGAGTCAATAGCTAAAGACCTCCAAACTTCGTGTGGCCTTCAGATTAGCACACCAACATGGTGTAGAGAGCTTCATGGAATGGGTTTCCATGGCCGAGCAGCTGCATCCAAGCCTTACATCACCAAGTGCAATGCAAAGCATCGGATGCCGTGGTGTAAAGCATGCCGCCACTGGACTCTAGAGCAGTGGAAACTTGTTCTCTGGAGTGACCAATCACGCTTCTCTGTCTGGCAATCCGATGGACGTGTCTGGGTTTGGCAGTTGCCAGGAGAACTGTACTTGCCTGACTGCATTGTGCCAAGTGTAAAGTTTGGTGGAGGGGGGATTATGGTGTGGGGTTGTTTTTCAGGGGTTGGGCTTGGCCCCCTAGTTCCAGTGAAGGGAACTCTTAAGGCGTCAACATACCAAGACATTTTGGACAATTTCACGTTCCCAACTTTGTGGGAACAGTTTGGGGATGGCCCCTTTCTGCTCCAACATGACTGCGTACCAGTGGACAAAGCAAGGTCCATAAAGACATGGAGGAGCCAGTTTGGGGTGGAGGAACGTGACTGGCCTGCAGAGTCCTGACCTCAACCCCATAGAACACCTTTGGGATGAATTAGAGCGGAGACTGTGAGCCAGGCCTCCTCCCCCGACATCAGTGCCTGACCTCACAAATGTGCTTCTGGAAGAATGGTCAAACCTTCCCATAGACACCCTCCTAAACCTTGTGGACGGCCTTCCCAGAAGAGTTGAAGCTGTTATATCTGCAAAGGGCGGGGCCAACTCAATATTGAACCCTACGGACTAAGACTGGGGGGCCATTAAATTTCATGTGTGTGTAAAGGTCGGCGGAACAATACTTTTGGCAATATAGTGTGTATATATATATTTATAAAATCTTAGTTATGCAGATTAATAATGGAGTTATTGCTGCTAAATTTGGTCTGGGCATCTAGACATCAATTAACTTTTGTCATGAAAGGGTTAAATTTACACTAAAAAAATTGTTGTTTTATGTCTTTTTAAATAAACTTAAAACAGAAAGCACCCATGACCTGGAATGTTTAACTGCAGTCTCGGTTTTCTAGAGAAAACACAGTTGTAACTGATTAACTTGTCCCTCTAGCTAAAAACTCTATATGGAGTTACACAGGACATAGCTTGGTCATTCAGCTATTTAGATATTCAGTTCTGTAAACAGGCTCTTTTTTCAGCAAAGCAGTTAAGTGTAGCCTGGTACTCATGTGGAGGGAAGCTCAGAGATCTTCCTGCTGGATGAAAGTAGTAACTAGGAAACGCGGGTATGTAATAAATTATACTTGACTAAAAGTGCATTTTTAAATGTTATCTTCTAGTCCTGAATAATATACATAAAAACGAAAAAAAAAAATACAAAACCCTTTAATGGTGAAGTCCAGGCAAATATAAAAGACTCACATGAATGCAGCTCTGCAATCCTCAATACACAATTAAGGCTTCATGTACACAAGCAGCTCCTAAACTTGATTTTAGAAGCTTTTAGCATTTTTTTCCAAAGCTCCTAAACTCCATAGAAGCCTATGTGTCCATGTAGAGATAAGCTTTTAGCAGAGTTAGAAGAGGGTAAACCTCTCCCTATCTGGGTATCACTCGTCTTGCAGGGTGAGCTACAATTACCCGGCAGGGGCTATATTAGGCCTTCCTGTGTCCAAACTGGGTACCCAAATCTCAAGAGAGCTTTGTGTCCAATCTGACACAGGCTAACCCAAAATGGCTCCGGGGATCTGAGTACAGAGGACAAGTCAGTAATTCCGTTTGGTGGTGCCGCCGCCAGTTCACCATCGCCTTACCCATGGTGGTATGTTGCATTGTCGAAAAAAGTGCAAGTACAGTTTTCCTGAGGCTGTGTTCACCCTACTTCAATGTGATTTTGATGGAATTTGCATTGTAATTATGTCATGTGGCCTTGATGCAACTTTGGTTGCGTTTAGGATGTGGTTTGCATATTCTATGGGGCCAAATCACACTGTAAATTGTACCATACTAGCACAGGGCCACTTCCCAAATCGCAAGTTTCACTGCATTGATGTGAACAGGCACCTTTGGAAGCAATGTCATGTAATTCAGTGTGACCCAAGTCGCATCTGAAATTGCACCAGTGTGAGCCAGGCCTTAATGAGCGAGCTGCCTTAAAGCTAGGTTCACATCTATGCAGTTTGTGTTTGATCCGTTTCTACACATGCATTTTTGATGCGTTTTTGCCGCGTTTATGATGCATTTTGCGTTTTTTTTTTTTACTTGTTGCTGGGCAGATTAAAACAGAAAATACATCAAACACGAATAAAAAACGCACTATGTGCTTTTCTGCAGCACCTCCATTGAAGTCTATTGAACCAAAAACGTTTTGCGTTTAAAAAAGTCCCTGACCCTTTCCAAAAAATGCACCGGGTGAAAACGCGGAGATGGGAACCTGTCCCATAGGAGATCATGTTAAATGGACTGCTGTGCATTTCCATGAAATGTAAGGTGTGCTGCGGGAAACGCATAGGTGTGAAGCTGGGGTAAAGTGGTATTAAAGCCAAAACGAAAAATGTAACATATTGCAGCTTACCAATCATTAGATGTGGTGGTTGCATTCGTTTTCTTTTCTTTAGGCTTTTCCCTGATTTTCACCTGTGATCTGGCCAGTAACACACCTCCTGTATTAGGGCGCCCCCACTTTGGATGAAGGAGCAACAGAGACACTTTTGGACAGCAGCATTAACCATTAGCCGCCCGGCCTATAGCCGTTTGGCGGCCGCAAAAATGGTTTAGCTTTCCGGGGTGTACACCAGTCAGTGTCCCTGATCACCGCCATGCCAGTTATATGATGACGCTGTACTGCACTGGTGACAGTATGTAAAAAAAAAAATAGTGAAAATAATTTTTTAAATTTTTTCATTTTCTGAAAAATTATGACAAAAAAAATACAACTTCAAAAAACTTGCCATGCCTCTTATGAAGTACGTCGGACTGTCTACTCTGCAAAAAGGGGTCATTTGGGGATATCTGTACTGTTCTGACATTCTTGGACCTCAAGAAATTGGCTGTCAGTACTTCAGGATTGATCAATTTTCAGATCTATCCAATAATTTGTGAACTCTATAACTTTCCTACAAACTAAATAATACATCCTAATTTGGATGTAGCAGAAAACATCTCGGCCTAAATTTACGAAGAACAATTATTTATTGTTGTAAACTTTTTATAACAAAAACAAAGAAAAACGTGTTTTTTTTTCAACATTTTTGGTCTTTTTTTGTTAATTTAGCAAAAAATAAAAACCCCAGCGGTGATTAAATACCACCAAAAGAAAGCTCTAGTTGTGTGAAGAAAATGATAAAATTTTAGTTTGGGTACAATGTTGTATGACTGCACAATTGTCATTCAAAGTGTGAGAGCGCTGAAACCTGAAAAATGGCCTGGGCAGGAAGGTGTAAAATTGCACGGTATTGAAATGGTTAACAGTCTGGGGGGAGGGGAGAGTTAGATGTAGTAGCATATTTAAATACACTAACAAACTGAAGTCACACTTTTCGGATAAATGTTTTACATAAAAAAATAAAAGCATCCCTGCTAGCGTTATATGATTTGTCTCAACCCTCTGACTGCTACATCTGCAGGACAGCTTATTCTATTGAAAAACAACAGACTTAATGACTACCAGGTAGAAAAAAAAAAACCTAAAAAAATAGAAAATGAATGCAGCCATCACATCTAAGCATTGGTACGCCACATTATAATAAATGTTTGCTTTTGGGTTTAACCCTCTCACTGCCAGAGCCGTTTTTGCTTTTTTTTTTTATCTTGCACATGCTTCAAAAAATTATTTTAGGCCTGAAGATTATATGAAGATGATATATTTTCTGAAAGCAGAGACCCTAGAGAATAAAATAGTCGTAGTTCAAATTTTTTATGTCACACGATATTACCGCAAAGGTCAAGGAAATGCAAAATTTCAGTACAAAAAACACACTAAAGTGAATTTTAGGACAAACAAATGCACTTAATTACCTACATTTTTGGTAAAATATAAAAGATGATGAGGTTGTGTCGAGTAAATTGATACCCAACATACCAAACCTTGAATTTTGCGCACCTATGAAATGGCAACAAATTTCAGTCCCCTATACTTTCTATAGACGATGCTTCAAAAGTCCCCATAGGTCATCAGTTCAGAGTTACGGAGAAGGTCTTGTGCTAGAATTGTTCCCACTCAGGCGGGCGCGGTGATTGGTAATGTGCATCGAAATCGACATTTTTTTTGGGGGGGAGGGAATATATGTTTTTTTGCAAAAAAAATTTTTTTTGTTACTTAATTTTTTTTTTTTTCATCACATAGGGGATAAAAAGTCCCCCATGTTATGTTTTTTTAGATGACAGGTTTTTCTTTAATGAGATATGCAGGATCTAAAAGACCCCCAATGTCTCTTCTGGGCTCCGCAATGCAGACCGCAGCCGTCGCTTCCGGGTCGCAGAAAAAAGGGTAGGAGAGCGGACGTTCGTTTGCTCTCCTCCCTCCCCCTCCACCCGCCAGCACCCGCCATAGCACTCCCCGGGCCCGCAGATGGGCAAGCGGAGCCTGAATACATGGCAGACGTGCACACGTGAGGGGAGGGGCACCGGTATCAGGGGCTTTGGAAGCAATCAGGCGGCAACATAGCTTCTGCCTGTCATTTTTAGACACAATTCTGGTGGCTGCAGGACCTGGATTGTGTGTAACCCCCCCCCTTCCCCCGCTGTCAGGTCCGTACGCACCTGGCAGCGAAAGGGTTAATATCTCTTTAATGCAGTTTTAAATACCAAAAGTTGATCATTGTAAGCACCACTGTCATTGTTAAATGGCTAGCCTCAACCTTCTATCGGCTACTTCCATAGGGCAGCTCGTTGTGTTAACCCCTTGCCCTCCAGAGGATTTACCCCCCTTCCTGACCAGGCCATTTTTTGCGATACGGCGCTGCTTAGTTTAACTGACAATTGTGTGGTCATGCAGCTCTGCACCCAAATGAAATTTATGTTCTTTTTTTCCCATGAATTGAGCTTTCTTTCGGTGGTTTTCGATCGCCTGTGCGTTTTTATTTTTTGCTCTATAAACAAAAAAGTCCAAGAATTTTGAGGAAAAAAAAAACAATATTTTTGACTTTTTGCTATTAAACATGTTCAGTAAAAAAAATCTAATTTTGTCATAAATTTAGGCTGAAATGTATTCTGCTACATATCTTTGCTAAACAAAAAAATACCAATACGTGCAACTTAATTGGTTAAGTGAAAGTTATAGCGTTTACAAATGGCGGTGTAGATACTGCAACTTTTTTTTTCTTTTTTTACTAGTAATGGCGATCAGCGACTTATAGCGGGACTGCGGGAGGCATTCTGACACTGGGGGGAACTGACTTTGTGTCACTGACATCCCCAGTGACACCAATACAGTGATCAGTACTAAGAAAAAGCACTGACACTGTACTAATGGCACTGGGCAGGAAGGGGTTAACATGTGGGGTGAGCAAAGGGTTAACTGTGTGCTGTTTCACTGTGTGCTGTGTGTGCCTCACTGCAAGCACACTGCTTTGTATGGCTCTGCAGCAGGGGCGGACTGACTATTGGGGAACTCGGGCATTGCCCGAGGGCCCGGGGTCAGTAGGGGGCCCCATGAGATGTCCCTGGTACCTTTCATAGGCTTTTTTGGGTGTGATTTGAGTGTGGGTGAGGATACAGGGGCCCCATGATCCCCTATTGCCTGGGGGCCCCATGAGTTGTCAGTTCGCCCCTGCTCTGCAGTGCAGTGTGCAGGAGCTGACTGGGGAGAGATCTGTGTTGTTTATACACAGGTCTCTCCCCCGTCGTAAATACTCGGCGATCATCGGGTGCCGGCGAGTAATCACCGGCCTGGACCCAGTGACTGACGAGGCAGTGAATCAATATACGTGATTTTGCACACCCGTGCCGCCAGTATTCTGTTATAGTGCGGTGCAGAACCGTAAAAAAAAAAAAAAAAGCAGACTCACCGGCTGCATCACCAGGTGAAAAAAAAGGAAAGAAAGCCTAAAAAAGAAAACTAATGAAACCATCACATCCAAGAATTAGTAAGCTGCAATTTAATAAATGTTTTATTTTAGGTTTAGCAGTGTGCCTTAACGCATGAAAAGCTGTGCATTGAGGTACATGCATTAATGTATCCCCCCCACGGTGTGAATGCGGCTTTTTTCGGATTAAGCCGATCACAGTTATCTGTGTATGAAAACTGTGAAAGTGACAACAGACAATAAGAGCGATTTTCTGTGAAATAAGGTTTAAAGCATACACGCTGTAAGAACGATAATAACTGAAAATCTCCCTTCTAGAATACAAAACACTAAAGAGATAAGTCATTGTTTACCCAAAGAAACCAGGCCGCTTTTACAGAAATGAATTCTCTCTTCTACAATCAATACCGGCGGTAAGCTGGAGATGCCATGAAAAAGCTTTAACTATAAAGAAATGAAAAATCACTGGACTGTGAAATATTTTAGGAAATGTCATAGCAGAAGCATCTTCATCTTCCTGTACAGATTTCCTTTTCTTTTACTCCAATACATATAAGCTTTTATCACGACTTGATTTCTTTGATGCCGCCGCCGTAATAAAATTTAAAGTGAGACTGTCTCGTGATCACAGTCATGTGGAGAGGGTGGAGTGGCGGCAGAATTTTAAAATTCCATTGAGAAGTTTATTCTTTTAATATGAATGAGAATCAGCAGATAAACATAAGCATCACTTAAATTCTTCTTGACCCTAGTGAAGGGGCGGAGTTGGGAACTCAGCAGAAGATTGATATTAAAGTCTACAATTTAGCTTTTATCCCAAGTGTAGAGAGGGTAGAGTGGCTGCAAAATTTTAAAATTCCATTGAGAAGTTTATTTTTTTAATATGAATGAGAATCAGCAGATAGACATAAAAGCTTGACCTAAATTCTTCATGACACTAACGAGGGGGCGGAGTTGGGAACTCAGCTGAAAAGAGATTGATATTAAAGTCTACAATGTAGCTTTTATCCCAAGTGTAGAGAGGGTGGAGTGGCTGCAAAATTTTAAAATTCCATTGAGAAGTTTATTCTTTTAATATGAATGAGAATCAGCAGATAGACATAAAAGCTTGACCTAAATTCTTCATGGCCCTAGTGAGGGGGCGGAGTTGGGAACTCAGCAGAAGATTGATATTAAAGTCTACAATGAAGCTTTTATCCCAAGTGTAGAGAGGGTGGAGTGGCTGCAAAATTTTAAAATGCCATTGAGAAGTTTATTCTTTTAATATGAATGAGATTCAGCAGATAGAAATAAAAACTGGACCTAAATTCTTCATGACCCTAGTGAGGGGGCGGAGTTGGGAACTCAGTTGACGATTGATATTAAATGTCTACAATTAAGCTTTTATCCCAAGTGGAGAGAGAGTAGAGTGGCGGCAGAATTTTAAAATTCCATTGAGAAGTTTATTCCTTTAATATGAATGAGAATCAGCAGATAAACATAAGCATCACTTAAATTCTTCATGGCCCTAGTGAGGGGGTGGAGTTGGGAACTCAGCTGAAGATTGATATTAAAGTCTACAATGAAGCTTTTATCCCAAGTGTAGAGAGGGTGGAGTGGCTGCAAAATTTTCAAATTTCATTGAGAGGTTTATTCTTTTAATATGAATGAGAATCAGCAGATAGACATAAAAGCTTCACCTAAATTCTTCATGACCCTAGTGAGGGGGCAGAGTTGGGAACTCAGCTGAAGATTGATATTAAAGTCTACAATGAAGCTTTTATCCCATGTGGAGAGAGAGTAGAGTGGCGGCGGCAGAATTTTAAAATTCCATTGAAAAGTTTATTCTTTTAATATGAATGAGAATCAGCAGATAGACATAAGCATCATTTAAATTCTCCATGACCCTAGTGAGGGAGCGGAGTTGGGAACTCAGCTGAAGAGAGATTGATATTAAAGTCTACAATGAAGCTTTTATTCCAAATGTAGAGAGGGTGGAGAGGCTGCAGAATTTTCTTTCAAATGTTCTCTTGAGAAGTTTATTTCTTTCCCATGAGTGAAAATCTTTAGGAACATAAAGAGTAACATGAATTCGGGGGCGGAGCTAGGAACTCTGGGGAGCGGAAGAAAGCTTCATATTAAAGGTGGAGTGACTGCAGAATTTTCATCTAAAATTTACCGTGCCATGGCTGAGTAGTTTGTTCCTTTAACATGAGCGAGGATCAGCAGGACAACATAGGAGAATCACTTGATTTCTTCATGGTCCTTGGAAGGGGGTGGAGTTGGGAACTCAACTGCAGAGAGCTCGATATTAAAGTCCACAATGATTACAAATAGGATTTTATCACAATTTTATTTCTCTGTAGAGTAGGAGAGCAAGTGGAGTGGCTGCAGAATTTTAAAATTCCATTGAGAAGTTTATTCCTTTAATATGAATGAGAATCATCAGATAAACATAAGCATCACTTAAATTCTTCATGGCCCTAGCGAGGGGCGGAGTTGGGAACTCAGCTGAAGATTGATATTAAAGTCTACAATGAAGCTTTTATCCCAGGTGTAGAGAGAGGGTGGAGTGGCAGCAGAATTTAAAAATTCTATTGAGAAGTTTATTCTTTTAATATGAATGAGAATCAGCAGATAGACATAAAAGCTTCACCTAAATTCTTCATGACCCTAGTGAGGGGGCGGAGTTGGGAACTCAGCTGAAGATTGATATTAAAGTGTACAATGAAGCTTTTTTCCCAAGTGTAGAGAGGGTGGAGTGGCTGCAGAATTTTTTTTCAAACTTTCTGTTGAGAATTTTATATCTTTCCCATGAGTGAGAATCCGTAGGAACATAAAGAGCAACATGAATTTGGGGGTGGAGCTGGAAACTCTGGGGAGCGAAAGAGAGCTTGATATTAAAAGGTGGAGTGACTGCAGAATTTTCTTCTAAAATTTACCGTGCCATGGCTGAGTAGTTTGTTCCTTTAACATGAGCGAGGATCAGCAGGACAACATAAGAGAATCACTTGATTTCTTCATGGTCCTTGGAAGGGGGTGGAGTTGGGAACTCAACTGCAGAGAGCTCAATATTAAAGTCCACAATGATTACAAATAGGCTTTTATCACAACTTTATTTCTCTGTAGAGTAGGAGAGCAAGTGGAGTGGCTGCAGAATTTTCTTTTACATTTTTTGAGAAGTTTATTCCTTTCACATGAGTTTAAATCAGCTGAAGAACATAAGAGAATCACATGAATTCTTCATGGCCTTGGCAAGGGGGCGGAGCTGGGATCTCAGCTGAAGAGAGCTTGATATTTAAGGTGGAGTAACTGCAGAATTTACTTTTAAAATTTACTCCTCCATGGTTGAGATGTTCAATCCTTTTACATGAGTGAGAATCAGCAAAGGAACATAAGAGCATCGCTTATACTCTTCATACCCTGGCAAGGGTATGCTGGGAGCTGGGAACTCAGTTTGATAATAAAGTAGGAGTGGCTGCAAATGTTTCTTTTACTTCTGTAATATACCCTGCCAAGTTAATTCCTTTAACATGAGTAAGAATCAGTGAACATAAGAGTACCACTTGATCTCTTCATGGTTCTGGGAAGGGGCGGAGCTGGGAACTCAAGAACTGAATATTAAAGTCCACAATAATTACAAATAATAGTTATCACAAGTTTATTAATTTGTAGAATAGGAGAGCAGCTGGAGTGGCTGCAAACTTTTCTTTTAAAATTGAATTGAGAAGTTCGTTCATTTCACATGAATGAGAATCAGAAGAACATAAGATAATCACATAATTTCTCCATGGCCTTGGGAAGGAGGCGGATCTGGGAACCCAGCCAAAGAAAGTTTGATATTAAAGGGGGATTTGCGTTCGGCCGGCGTTAATCAACCCCATATTATATATATTTATATATAAATCACTAAGATATCGCATATTGTCCTTTCATTTGCTGTGATGCTAGGTGCAGCCTATAGATTTCTGGGCTAGTCGAGGCTTCGTGGAATCCTTCAGTGAGATGAGTAGTGAGGACATCAGCCGCATATAGGAAAGCTATCTCCCCGGAATGGAGACTGCATATTGTACATTTTGGAGTTGGTGATCTATAACCAACAATGTTCCAGGAAAAAATTGAAAACCTGCCTCTGTCTTGACTTTAAGTAAACTCAATTTTTACGGTTCAATATTTACTTTGTGGATGAAGCACCGTGTCATTTTTCATTCGCTGCCTCTGTATATAGAAAAAAAATTGACCCGAGAGATAGGTACGTTGTCTCTTTCTTCTAGAAGGCGTTGTTGAGAATTTGAATGATATAGCAAGACGGTGTTTAAAAAATGGGAGAAACCCTCCAGAAAAGAGTCGGACAAATTTGAAATGACTGCTGGGAAAATCTTTAATGAACCCAAAACGTCTAAAGATTTGTAAACGGCCTAGGTGCTAAATCACCAGGCACCAGACAAAGAGAGAAAAAAAAAGAGGTAACACGAAACTCCAGGCAGCACCAAAAGACAGAACCCTGTATTTATTAATATAGCATTTAAAATATTTTTTTTTAAGAGAAATGATTTTGCATTTTTACATGATTATGTGCAGCAAAGCTCAGGCAGATGGAGGAAGAAGCAGCACAAGGAGCCAAGCAGTTCTGTGGCAGTCCACAGTGCATGCTGATAGAAGGAGAGAGAAAAGTGATGAACTTATAAGTCTGCTGCTTCTACTTTCATTGTCCATGACCCCTTGACTATACCCTGTGGGTGGGGTGAAA